TTTTTTTTCTTTCTTTCCTCCCTCCCTCTTCCTCTCTCCCTCTTCCTCCCTCCCCCTTCCTTCCTTCCTTCCTTCCTTCCTTCCTTCCTTCCTTCCTTCCTTCCTTCTTTCTTTCTTTCTTTCTTTCTTTTTTTTTCTTTCTTTCCTCCCTCCCTCTTCCTCTCTCCCTCCCTCTTCCTCCCTCCCCCTTCCTTCCTTCCTTCCTTCCTTCCTTCCTTCCTTCCTTCCTTCCTTCCTGCCTTCCTGCCTTCCTGCCTTCCCTTCCCCCCTTCAATCTCCCATCCTCCCTCCTTCCTTCCTTCCTTCCTTCCTTCCCTCCCTCCCTCTTTCTTTCTTCCCACCCTCACTCTTCCTTCCTCCCTTCTTCCCCCCTCCCTCCCTCCTTCCCTCCCTTTTTCGTTCCTCCTTCCCACCTTCCTTCCTCCTCTTCCTCCCTCAATCTCCCTCCCTCCCTTTCCCTTCCTTCCTTCCCTTCTAAAAAAGCATAATTGAGTGTCCATTAGAGGGCACTGTAGGCTTAGGTATGTTCTTGGAAGACCTGCATAAGACAAACCAACCATATTAAGGAGGTAACAGTTCAGAGCAGGAAATATTTGTTTGCCATCAAACCTCCTCTGCTTTTTTTCTTAAATGATTCTAGAAGGGGAAGAGATGATGACAACGACTCTCCTCATCTGCTTGGTGCCATACCAAAAGTTCTGAAAACTGCTTGGATGTAACAAGAATGGAAGGAATATCAATACATCAACTGTAAAACGTTATATTTCTTGGAACAATGCTTGTGTTACTGCAATATATTTAACTAGCCTAGAGCCCTGGGAATCAAATCCAGACAGAACAATCTGTCAGACAGCGGAAATAGTAACAGCAGCAGCAGCAGCAGCAACTTCCAAAATCTTAGGCCCAGTTCTTGTCCATATCTTCATAAATGATTTAGATATGGGGATAGGAGGGAGACTCAACAGATTTGTAGATGATCCCAGACTGGGGGAGGGGGAGAATACTTGTCTGCAAGGAGTATAAATCCTTCCATTCCCCACCATCCTGTCAGAGCTGAAGAAACTTCTTGGATGAGAAGCGAAAGTACAATTTTGTTGAGACTCTAGAATGCTGAGAAGAGCAACCAAGAGGATCAGGGGGCTGGAGGCTAAAGCATATGAAGAACGGTTGCAGGAACTGGTTATGTCTAATTTAATGAAAAGGAGGACGAAGGGTGTCATGATAGCACTATTCCAATATCTGAGGGGCTGCCACAAAGAAGAGGAAATCAAACTATTCTCCAGAACACCTGAGGGCAGGACGAGGAGCAATGGGTGGAAACTCATCAAGGAGAGAAGCAACCTAGAACTAAGGAGGAATTTCCTGACAGTGAGAACAATTAACCAGTGGAGCAACTTGCCTCCAGAAGTTGTGAATGCTCCAACACTGGAAATTTTTAAGAAGAGATTGGTCAGCCATTTGTCTGAAGTGGTGTAGGGTTTCCTGGCTAGGCAGGGGGTTGGACTAGAAGACCTCCAAGGTCCCTTCCAACTCAACTCTTCTCTTCTCTTCTCTTCTCTTCTCTTCTCTTCTCTTCTCTTCTCTTCTCCCCTCCCCTCCCCTCCCCTCCCCTCCCTTCCCTTCCCTTCCCTCCTCTCCTCTCCTCTCCTCTCCTCTCTCTCCTCTCCTCTCCTCTCCTCTCCTCTCCTCTTCTCTTCTCTTCTCTTCTCTTCTCTTCTCCTCTCCTCTCCTCTCCTCTCCCCTCCTCTCCTCTCCTCCCACTCCCTCTCCTCCCCTCCCCTCTCCTATTCTAAAATCTCTGGTTATTAGTAATTTGGGAAGCGTGTTCCTTCCTTGTCTCAGAATCTTGTGTGTAACTTTAGATTGCATCTAGAGGTTCAGCTTATTCTATTTGCAATCGCCACCTTCAGATGGGATCCAAATGGGATGGTGGTGGTGGTGTCAGCCCTTGTAGGTCTATTTCCCCCTGTGGATTTCTCTTTGATTTGATGCCACTCTGAGGGGCCTTTCGAAAGCTATCTACTCCCTGTGGCTTTGGGAAGCTGAACTTGTGCGTTACCCTGCTTGACCCCTTGGGATCATTGCAGGCAATAAACAGCGGCATCTGAGTTATTTCTACAGAGATCCTAAAGGGCCATCAATATTATCGCATTAAAACCGAGAGAATGCCAGTAAGCAGCCAAAGGTCACAGTTGGCTTAAAAAGCAATCTTGTTTCTTTCTCTTCCCCTGCAATGGAAAACAGACTGATGGGTAAAAAGGCTTGACGCACTCAGAAGCTGCCAAAGGCTAAATTAATATTAATTACCTGCCCTATGAATTTGGAAAGGTGGCCTCCCTCCTTCTTTCCTCTCCCTCTCCCCCCCCCCTCTCCATTCCTTCCTGCAAGATGAGAAATCCTTTTTAATTAGGGGATAGCTGAATCACCGTGACTTGTGTTTTGTGTGTGTGTGTTGTTGACAGTAACTAAACATGACCCCGGAGCGAGCAGGTGGTAGCATGGGTTACCGCGATGAAGGGATTCAGGTGTTCCTAACTTCCAAGGGGAGATCGGTTCCCTGAGATGACACGGATACCGCTGGTGTGGTTGTTACTTTTACCCATGACATCACCAATTGAAAAGACAAAAAAAAAAAAAAAGAGAGAAAAAAAATAGCAGCAGAAGGGTGTATACTCAGAGCAATGCCTGGTATTGTACTCTGCACACTGAGCAGGAACTATGTGCCCTATTCTGATTTTAAAAAACGTTCTGAATTTTCTCCTCCAGCAACTAACAAGAGCGAACATCTCACATTTCTTGTCTGTCTTTTGGGCTGATACAATAGGCTCGGCTCCATCCTTCTTGTGGCCTATCTGTTGATGGGGGAAGCCCTCAAGAATTGATTTTGGGATCTCTAAAGGAATGCCAGCGGACCGGGAGGAACTCCACATCGCTTACCAGAAGTATCAACCCCCCACCCCTTCGTTCTGTTTTGTTTTTTTCCTTCATCGGTTCTGAAAAATAGTTTCGGGTCTTCATCTGGTGGGCTTGGATGGACCTCGAGTGACTTTTGAGCTGAGCCTCCTTCCTTCCCTTCTCCTTGCTTTTGGAAAGCTCTACCTCTTCTGGCAGCTTGGTCTCCCAGCCTGGCCATGCTGCAGCAAATTTTGCTAGATCTCTACATTGATCCTGAGCTTTTGGCGGAGCTGAACGAAGAGCAGAAACACATCCTCTTCTACAAGATGAGGGAAGAGCAGGTCAGGCGATGGGAAGAAAGAGAGCAGGCACTCCAAGAAGGAAAGCTTAGCCTGAAGAGGACGAGGAGGTTTCAAAAGAGTAAGATGGGCTGTTTTGGGTTTCCCTCTTGTCCATAGATCGTTCCCTTACTGTGTGCAAAGTTGTGTACAGTCTACATATTCATCTACTTAGGCAGTTGCCCATGAATTCAGTGGGTACAAAGGAGGGAGATGATATTTACTGATTTATTTATTGACTGGTTGGCTGGCTGGCTGGCTGGTTGGTTGGTTGATTCCTTCATTCATTCTGTCAGGATTCCGGCAGTTACCCCAAATAAATCATAAGTCTCGAGCCAAACTTCCAACACCTCAAAGGATTTATTGGGAGTTAACACTGCTCTTTCAAACCCCTTTCCCCCCTCTCTTTCTGCTGGCAACTCTAAAGCGACCATAGAAATATTTTATGAGTTGACACATTCATTCATCCGTTCATTCATTCATTCATTCATTCATTCATTCATTCTTTCATTCTTTCATTCGTTTATTCCCTGCCTGTTATTCTAGTGCCCCTGTCAGTATTACTGGGCATCATCTTGGAGATTTTTGGATTGGGCTGATTATCGTTAGCTCGTTCCTTGATTGAGGCATTGCTTATTTCTTGATTGTTGGTCTGATGTTAACCTTGGTGTTAATCTCTGTTCATCTGAGTGTTGAATCGCTGGTGGGGGTGGGGAGTTTGGTCCTTTTGTTCCCTTTTTGGTTTTCCTTTTTGGCTTTTGGCTTTCCATCCACTGGAAGGACAAGGCCTTAGAACAGGGAGACTCAACCCCTGGGCCACGGACTGGCAGAAGTCCACAGCTCACTCAGGACTGGGCTTTGCAAGGGAGTGAAGCCCCATCTGTGAATGTGCAAGATCCAGGCAGAGTGTGAAAACCACACACACCCAGTCCATGGAAAAACCTCCCTCTGTGGAACTGGTCTCTGGCACTGGTGCCGCTGCCTTGGAATACAAACTGAGAGCAAACCCCACTCCTTTTTAGCACTGAAGTTGTTACCTAATGGGGTAATGAAATGTCTGCAAGAAAACCACGGAGCTCAGAGAGCACAAAAGACCCCACAGTCCTCCTCCTCCTCCTCCTCCTCCTCCTCCTCCTCCTCCTTTCCTCTCCTCCTTTTCCTTCCCCCCTCTCCTTCTCCTTGTCCTCCTCCTCTTCCTTTTCCCCCCTTCTCCTGTCCCTCCTTCTTTCTGCAAACCTCATTCCCTTCTAGTACTGATAATATTATCTAGTTGGGTAATGAGATGTCTGCAAGAAATCAACTGAGCTCAGAAAGCGCCAAGGACTTCATAGTCCTCCTCCTCCTCCTCCTCCTCCTCCTCCTCCTCCTCCTCCTCCTCCTCCTCCTCCTCCTCCTCCTCCTCCTCCTCCATAAACCCTACTTCCTTCTAGCACTGATGATGTTACCAAGTTTGGGTAATGAAATTTCTGCCAAAAAAAACCCTACCAAACTCAGAGACCAACAGGGACTGCTCAGACATTTTCTACTTTAAATGGCTTGGAAATTGAGGTTGTTCTAGGTTGGATACTTTTCCCCCCCAGTGTCCCTACTTAATCTCGAGTCATCCCTTTGGGCTTAAGGGTACGGTGTTTTCACTTCACCGGGAAATTTTTTATTCCCTTTTAAAGGGTGCACTTAAAAAGGGAACAATTCACACCTCCAACAAATAACCTTGTTATGCAATCTGTGCTGCATGACAGGCCTGAGCAATGTGGCAGAAGAACATGAAAGTTCTTAAATAGCTCACATTATGTTTAAGCTGCTAGAAGTTCGGCACGGCACATTATAATGGATATTTAATGCGGTATTAATGCAAACTTCCTTTCCTCCTCTGCTCCTGCTGATAAAGAAGACAGAGCATTTCAGATTTGGGATTTCCCAGATGTGCCAGTTTGCTACCCAAATAAAACAGAACTTTGGAGAGGATGTCTGTCTTGGAGTTCTTGGTGGGAGTGGAGGTTTTCTGGAATGCTAATATAGAAGCTGAACTGAGAGTAACCACATTAAAACACATATTATTTAAGAAGAGCCAAGAATGAATGCTCTTTAAAAAAAAAGAAAAAGAAAACCCAGCTACAGGTAGTGCTCAACTTACAACAGTTCATTTAGGGACCGTTCAAAGTTACAATGGTAGTGAAAAAAGTGACTTATGACCATTTTTCAGCATGATGGCTGCAGCACTCCCATTATCAAAATTGATCACGTGATCAGAATTCAAATGCTTGGCAACTGACTCATGCTTTTGATGATTGCAGCATCCACGGGTTATGTGATTATCTTCCGACAACCAACATCAATGAGGAACCCAGATTCACTTAACAACCATGTTACTAACTTAATAACTGCGGTGATTCACTTAACAACTGTGGCAAAAAAAATGTCTCAAAATTGAGCAAAACTCACTTAACAACTGTTTCATTTAGCAATAGAAAATGTTGGGTAATTCTAGGACTACCTCTAGAAGAAGACCAAAAGGTCTTGAGATAATACGGTTTCTCCTGGCACTGAAATATTTGTGCTGGACATAATTGGGGAAATCTTCAAGAAGAAGACTCAGGAAGAAAAGAGCTACTATGATAAAGGTCTTTTCCTAGGTAGTTTTTGGCCAAATTACAAATTACAAGAGAGCACCTTGAACAAAACCCTTGATGATGGTCTTCAAGGAAGGGCGATCTTGCTTCTGTAATTGAAGGGAGACAAAACCAGACGAGAGAAGAAAGGTCAGCCTCATTTACCAGTGATTCTTTTGTGCTCAGAGTGGTCTCTCTCTCTGTGTGTGTGTGTGTGTGTGTGTGTGTTTTGATTGATTTATTTATTTCTCAAACATGTACAAGATAGCAAGTATAAGTATGAACATAAACATGAACAAAGGGAATAAATACAGATAAATGGGGACAGTAAGACAGGGACGGTAGGCACGCTGGTGCGCTTATGCACACCCCTTTAAGGACCTCTTAGGAATGCGGTGAGGTCCATGGTAGGCAGTTTGAGGGTAAAGGTTTTGGGGTTTGAAGCTGTAACAACGGAGTCAGGTACTGAGTTCCAGGCATTGACCACTCTGTGGCTGAAGTTGTATTTTCTGCAATCGAGTTTGGAGTGGTTTACCTTGAATTTGTATCAGTTGTTTGCCTGTGTGTTATTGTGATTGATTGCATTAATAGGCAAGATGTTATAGAAAACCATTTTGTGAACTATGCTTAGATCAGATTGCAGCCGGCACAGTTCCAGATTGTCCATGTCGAAAATTTCGAACCTGGAGCCATAGGGAATTCTATTGTGAGTCGAGGAGTGGAGTACTCTGCTTGAGAAATACCTCTGGACCCGCACAATCATGTTGATTTATTTATTCTCTATGACTTGAAACCATGTTTTGATTCAGTCATGGGTGGAAAGTAGATTCTGCATAGCGGACTTAAATTTTGTTGAGTTCCCATTTCATGGGAGATGGAAATGTGCCAGAATATTTTTCTCATCATTTAGGCAGCCTCTAAATGATTAAGAGAAAAAAAAAAATCACAATGTCAGTCGCAGTGTTTCCTCCAGCTTATAGGTTGAAGTAGCAACCAGTTAGATATTTAGATTCATCCAGTTGGATCTCATATGGAATCGAATGGAATCGGATAGGATGGGATGAGATGAGATAGGATGGGATGGGATGCAGAAGAGAAGAGAAGAGAAGAGAAGAGAAGAGAAGAGAAGAGAAGAGAAGAGAAGAGAAGAGAAGAGAAGAGAAGAGAAGAGAAGAGAAGAGAATGCAGAATAGAATAAAATAGAATAGAATAGAATAGAATAGAATAGAATAGAATAGAATAGAATAGAATAGAATAGAATAGAATATGAATGGAATGGAATGGAATGGAATGGAATGGAATGGAATGGAATAGAATAGAATAGAATAGAATAGAATAGAATAGAATAGAATAGAATAGAATAGAATAGAATAGAATAGAATAGGCTTTATTTGGCCAAGTGCAATTGGACACAGAAGGAATTTGTCTCCTGTAAGAGACAAAAGTGGAAAAGCAATATTTTGTGTCCAGTGGCAAATCCAGAGGGTTGTTTTTCAAGGAACATACCAGTAAATCCCCTTCATATTTCCATCCATGCGATTCCTTGAATTGCCCTCCTTTTATTCTATCCTCTGCTTGACCTACATGCTCCATGCTGAGTCACATTATCTGGGCCAATCTATTTGAGATCTTTGAGTCATGTCTCTTCATTTGACTTGGAGACAATACATGATTTTCAGTTGACTTGGCAACAGTTCACAAGTTTGATTTTGATTTTGGAAGCTACTTTCCTTGGTTAGTTGATTTCATTCATACAAGCACTGCTCAGCCATCATGGATTACGTTCAGCTTCTCCCTCTCCTTTTGACTTTAGCACCAAGAGTAAACCTACCTGGGCTCTGGAGAACATTCTTCTATGGTAGAAAATAACAGTTACAGGGTCCAACATGTATCTGAAATTAAATAACTACTCAAAACAATTGTTAAAAAATTATCGAATGGAACTGTTGGCTTTGGGCCACATCACTCAATTGCTCATCAACATAGCTTGTGTCAAAATTATAGAATTCAAGTAATACTCTGATTATGCCAGTAATTAGCCGTGACTTCCATTTTTTGTTAACAGAGCAGTTTTGTTAATCAACTGCTGTCATCAATTATATAATGATTAAAGTATATTTAAAAAATCTGATCTTGGAGGGCTGAACAGGATGAAAAAGAGTGATTTTACTGATGCTAAGAGAATTGCAGGTTTTAGGAAATAATTTTGTGGAATGGTGCAGCATCTGGCTGGGTTTTGACAGGGTAAAAAAATTGCATCTTTCTTTAAATTAATAGCTGTGTGATTGGCAGTATGTTTTGAAATTCCCATTGTTGGGAGCAAAATGCTAGTTTCAAATGGCTTTAGAGGTTCTAAATGATCACTTTATTTAGCAAAACTAGCAGGCTACAGTACATTGAATGTGTTGCATCTATGCCAGGCCACTCTTTGCCTTGCAGGACTACATAAAACTTACATAGGTGGTTTGATCAG